GGGGGGGGGGGGGGGGAAGTACCTTGTGGGCTCCACCTCCTCATATCTCAGTGGACTACTGGCAGAAGTCTTAAGCCTATTTACCTGGACACACCCAAGTGATTTTAAACATGTTTACTGATATTTGTTTCGTGTGGTAGCAGTGCCTTGCCATCCTAACCCATTTTGCTTAAAATCGAGCCTTGCTGATTCAACGAGTTTCCTTCCCTGAGAAAAGTAAACCAGAATTGGGATATGTGGCTGTTACCCAGACATTTGGATCTATGTACATTCACCTCCACATGTGCCTGTATGCATTCCTCCATGTTTGCCCATCTGAATCGATCCACGATACATACATATCATATGTATGCTATGTATGCTATATACACCTGACGTGTGTGTGTGTGTGTGTGTGTGTGTGTGTGTTTAAATGACTGGGAGGAAGAGGGGGTGCCTGCATGTTGTTTACTGCACGGTGGTGGCAGTCACATCTACATATTGTGGTGTAATATACATAAATCTGGAATAGAATGAAGGTGTTCTGTTCATGCAGAGAAGGGAATATTCACTTATTCAGCCTCCCTTCAGATGTGTTTATGTGTGTGTTATCACACCTGTACCCATTTCCTGAGTCTCCATGTCTCCCCTCTGTGGTGTGCATTTTTCATATTACAGTACACTTTACATAAGAAAATCTTTAGGGATGAAGACAGTTCTTAGGAATTCCTGAGTTCAGGTTTTTACTGTTAATCACCATGGCCTTATTGTTGATATTTAAAGACAACAATAACTAAGCCAGACTTCTTCTTTTAATTTCCCCTCCACCCACTTTCTGCCATCCTCCGTTTGATCTCTCCACTGAAAAGCAGTTCTTACCGTCGGACCTTAGAAACCGATTAACAGACAGGCCTACCAACATTTAGCCCAAACTCAGCTAGATTCCAGGTTAATTTAGGAGGGGGAAAAATCCCTTTAAAGGTGGAGGAAGGGATTATTCTACCGTAATTAAAAATTATCAAAGGGGGAAAGAGAGGGAGAGAGAGAGAAGAGAGAGACAGAGAGTAGTGAACGAGCTCAGTTAATTAAGGAGGAGGTTCGAATTCTGCCAACTTCAAATAGAAGCTCCTTTTGTATCAAGCGCCTCCATCTTATCAAAGGAGGGAAGGGAACACATTCCCCCTAAAAGCTCGGGTGACTGCGATTCGAGGTTAAAAACGGGGAAGTCCTTCAGGTTAGACACCTTAGGAAAGACGGGAGGAAGAAGTCCTCGTGAATTTGCGTTGGGTCGCCGAAATCCGAATCAAACACAACGTGCTGATGCTGACAGTCATTTAATAACAGATTATATTGATCCCGAAATTACCTCCAGAGCGAGTGGAATTGACTCCCTGTTGCGGCCAAAGGTAAACGCGGTTTTAAAAGAAGGAAAAGGAAAAGGAGCACTTTCTGTTCTGATTCAGCCTGGAAATGTCTGATAAAGACTTTGCACGGAAGGCGGGGGGAGGGAAAAATCCGAAAACGGGACCATTTTAATCAGCCACTTTAACCCGCTTCGCTGCCCTTTCTGAAGCCCTTCGCTGCCAGACGCCTTCTTTCCACACATCTCGGCTGCATTTTCATATTCTCTACCGAAGCCCCTTCTTTAAATAGTGAGCGGGGAACAAGGGGTGAGTTTAATTTGCTTTTCAGCGTGCTAATTGAAGGGGACGACGGTTCATTTCTCCACGCCGATCTCCAAAGGGGAGCTCATTTTGTCGGGGGCTGGGGGCCTGACACCACCACAATAGACCCCGACCAGCTTCGGAATCAAGCGGGACAAAGACCACCTTAAAGGCCGCTTTGCCCGTGGAAATCAGCTTGTCAGCAGCCCCTTGTTCGGCGAACCTCATCAAAGTGTCGATCCATTGACTGGGGTTTTGTTAAGAGAGGCATGTTTAAAACAAAAGATCCAACCTCTTCCATGCTCTCCTCCGCTCCGCTCCGCCCCAAGAAAGGCAGGGGGGGGGGAGGGAGGAGGAAAAAAGTGTTACAACTTAATCCGACCCAAGAACGTTACTGTTTACTGGGAACTTTGAACTAAGCTGGGTCTATTTTTTCCCTTCTTCTTCCCCTCCCGTTTCTCTCCGTTCCTTTAAACACAAGAACAACGTCGTAGAGGAAGCGTGCTTCTTTCGAAATGGCTTAGTGGGGAGAGAAAGGCTCCCGAACTTAAGGGATGGCACCATAATCAAGCTGAATGACAATCGGGAGCTCAGGCTGGGAAATCTTCTCAAAACCACCACCTTAAACCAACCCTCTAGTTTCAAAGGTGTAGGCACCCAGAAGGCAGCTGGGCATGCTAACAGGAAGCTTGAGCGATGAATTTGATCTGCTTTCCCCTCTTCTTCGTCACCCCACCCCCGCCTAAGGTTAATACAATAGATAATTATCCTAAGCACACTTTTCCAAGAATCTCCTACGGCCTCATCTGGGCAATTGTCAAACAACGCCATTCTCCCCATTGCATTGCCCGGCGCACCATCTTTTTGATGTGTCTATCCCCCTCCCCACGCACCCCCTAAAAGGTCATTAATCATTCCGCTGGGCTGGAGAACATCCACGCTTCTCAACGGCGGAACTTGCAAAGGGCCCGGAATTCCAGTCATCAGGAAAAACGCTAAGCAATCGACCCACAAAACCGTGGAGGAGGTTTTAAGAAAGTTCCGGTTTCACTGCAGTGTGGACAGACTTCTTTTAAAACCGCGTGGAAATCCGTGGGATTTAAAGTCCAGACCACTAGATCCAACAGCTCGATCTCCTATACTTTTGCTCGGAAATTGTTCCATCGCAATCGGATTCAGGGCTTCTAATTATCTATGCTCATGATCTGCCCAGGACTAAAATCCAGTTATTTAAATCTAATTGGGCAGTAAAACAAAACATATGTAAGAAAAAAACTAGAAATGCTTACTTCCAATTTCAAAAACAAACCGGGAACGGAAAAATATAGTTTTTTTCCCTCCTTGTGGACAAGTGTTCTAGAGTTTGAAATACATTTTTAAACATATAGATTTTATTTAAAAACAAAAAAAAATCCCAAAACAAGTCTACGCCCTAAATAAGAACACAATAACCACCCAAAAGACGACATCCTTTGTAGTCCAAGTTTCAAAACTGACACATAAATCTAGAGGTCCACCGAACAGTTTTCAGCCTCGTAAAGGTCCCTGTAATACTTAAAAACTCCTCAGAGATGAAGAAGCCCTAACATCGAACTCATGTTTTATTCCTCTGCCTTGAAATTTGGCCCCGGATAATCCTCACTGCATGAGCCAAAACCTGTTAAGCCGATCTGCCTTGATCAGCGGTGTAATCCTAGGCAGGTCTACTTAGAAGTCAGTCCCACTGAATTGAATGGACCTGCCTTCCAAGCAAGGCGTATAGGATTGCAGTCGGAAGATGATAAATTCCTTTTACTGTCACTCAGGCGAAAGATCTTATTTTACCTGGACCTCAAGGAGCACGCACGTAGCAAGATCTACAGCAACCACTGGCTTTAGGCATTGCATAGGTCTCTCTTTTTAAAGGCAGACACATTTGAGAAAATAAGCACGAGAGGACATTTCTTTCTTTCTTTCAAGAATGTTAACAGAAGGAAACATCTTCGGCTTCCCCCACCAACACCGCCCTTACATTTCACGCATTTTACACAGGAAGCAAATGTTTTGTTTTTTTTCCTCCTCCTCCTCCTTACCTGAGTTTCCGTAAGACTGAGGCTGTGAGCCAGTTGCTTTCTCTCTGCCCCGACGACGTAGTGGTTTTTTTCAAAAGCGTGCTCCAGCCTCAGTAACTGGGATGGGGAAAAAGCAGTGCGGATCCGTTTCGGTTTCCGGGCCAGTGCGTTGTGCAAGAGGAAACTCTCCGGACTGGTTTCATTACCTGGATAGTCACAAGAAAAAAGTAAAGGAATCAACAAAAAGCAGGAACCAACCAAGCCCAGCTAAATACCATTTTTGTACCTCTCGGCGAATAAAACCCCATCCCGTCTTTATCTGGCCCTTTTCTGACACACGGCTTGTTACTTCGCTACAGCTTCAGTTCTTCCTCGAAGGAGGACTGGAATTATCTGCCCTCCCTTTTCTAGTACTTATCTCCAGAAAGGAAATTGGGGCGGGGGGCGGGGAGAGAGAAGAAGGTAAGGGTATATTAATTGGCCAGTTTGCTATTCTTTTGCAGAAGGAAAGATGCGTTGTAAGTGTGCTTCGAAAGCACCTAACTTCAAATTAAGGGGAGTCAACAGTAACAAACCGACGAATTATTTCCCATATTAGTCAATCTCCTCCACATGCAGGGAGGTAATCCAGGAAAGGTGCAAAAAGAATCTTTCAGGTGACCCAGTTTTGTAAATAGATCCCCCACCCGGATCCACTTCAAACTCCCACTTTATTCTCTCGGTGTTTGCGAACCCGAGCTCTCTTCCTTCTTCTTCCTCCTCCCCTCCTTGCTGGCCGCTTCTGTTTTATTTTGAAAACCCTCTTTGTCAGTTCCCTAGCAAGGTAAGAAGTCAGAGTTACTGTACTGTCCTTGCCACTGTCCGTTTTGAAAAAATGGGGCCGGAGGAACTGCTCTTGCCAAAGTTGGTTTTACAAAATTCAGAGTCTTCCTCCGCTTCCTCCTCTTACACAGGATGCGAACAAACGGCGCAGTGCGGAGCATGCCTTAGAAATAAGTCGCACTGAATTCATTGGGCCTTTCTCCTATCCTAAAACAAAAAGGCGGGGGTGTTTTTCTCTCTCCGGCACACACACGAGCACGCTCACAGACCCACACACACACACACAGCGCTGCATTCGTCCATTGCAAAACATTTTTAGTAAAGGTTTGAAAATGCGACCCCAATCGCCTGTCTATTTTGTTCGATCGGCTTCCCCGCCTTGGTATTTCGCTCCTTTCCCGAAGAGGCCGATACCCCAGTCAGACGAGCGCCACAACCACAGCCAAGCCCTTCCTTTCCGCCGGCGCTCTTCAACAAGCGGAGCACAACGGAGCGGGGATTACGGAGTGAGCGAAACCCTTAATTTTCCACCCAGAGCTTAGTCGCACAATCATCACCCGCTCGCTGCTTTATCTCCCTTCTGGGGAGAAGCGCCTGTGCGGATTTGACCTTTCTTCTCCACACCCCAAATATGTATCCCATAGTGGATTTGGCGGAGAGCCTTTATTTATTTTGGAGGGGGGAGAGAGAGAAGGAAAGCTATATAAAATAACTGAAATGCGAACCCAAGACATTGACGTGCATTAGGACTGCAACTACACGCACACGCACAGAAGCACACATATAGCAGGACGATGCCTTACGGGCATAGGCGGCGGGTGGAGATCCCTCAGACTGATTGCTGTTCTCTCCCCCCTCCACCCCCCATATCAGCCTTCGAAAGTCTTAATCACTTGGCCTCCCAATTTCTCTCTCACCCAGCTGTCTTCTCTCTGTGGCCGTCTCACCTGCCACGGGTTCTTTCACCCTCTTTTCTGCTTAGTGGTAATTACATGTGAACCGAAGGGAAGGGAAAAGCTGCTGGTCCGGAATCTTTCCCAGGTCTTCGCGGCTTTACTTTGTGTTGTTCTGGAGATCCCCCTGGATCCATTTTCATTGGAAAATGACAGCGGAGGCGGAAAGAAGCCAAACCAAAACACGGAGATGCGACTGCAGGGCGACCTAAGTTGTTGTTGTTTTCCTGAGAAGTTAAGACCCGTGGAGACCCTGGGCTTCAAAGGAATTTATTCCCAGGAACTTCCCTTAGAAGCCGCACTTCGGAAATTGGTTACTGCAGCCCGATGGACTCACAAGAAATGGGGCTAAGGAGTGTGTGTGTGTGTATTTTAGTTAGATATAGATACACACACAATGCAAAGTCCTCCCTTGAAGCCGTTAGGGGAGTTTCTCGAAGAAGTAGCTTATATATTTGAGTTAATGAAGCAGCATTAATTCCAAATGCATGTCACCTTTGGTTTGTCTATTTAAAAATAAATTCAGTTGTGAGGTTTTAAAAGTCGCTCTAACACTAACAAAAATTAGCTTCTGCCCCGCCCCTTTGTTCTCCTCCCGTTTTAATAAACTCTAGTGTCTTTTCAGAGGATTTTCCAGCGATAAGTTAATTTACTGGAAAAGTGCCCCCCCCCGCCCGCCGAGCTAAATGGTTAGCTCAGTTTATTTCCGGGAAGCTTCAGACGAGCAGCAAAAAAGAAAAAAACCCTAAGCCGAAAGCCAGGAATTTCCACAAAGATTCCCTGTCTTCTCCGAGTGGGGAGGGGGCTCCTTTGAGCCAAATCGACTACGGGAATCCAGGGTCCCGAAGAGCCCTGCCTGCTCCATCCTCGTTTCCGCCCCCCACAGGACTGCTTGTCCAGGCGGGCAAAAGCCCCGCTGATCCACCAACAGAGACTGAGCAAGCGAGAAAGCGGGAGTTCCCTGAGGCCGCTTCTGGGCTAGTCCAAACAATTATTTCCCGTTGACGCAAGTGGCTTTTGGGGTGGCCGGGACAAAGAGCCGCGACCTCCTCCTCGCACACACCTGAACTCTGGCGTGGTGGACGTGGCCCACCTCCGTAATAATAGCAATCGTGACATCCTGTGCAGAAGGAGCCGGAGACGCGAGCGCCGGCCTTTCCTTGGAGCTTACCTTGGAACCGGTGGCCCAGATACCGGTATCTGTGTATGAGCCAGGGGTAGAAGGTGGACGGGTCCCTTTGCTGCGAGGCGAAGAGCGGGTGCGGCGAGGGCGAGGAAGGCAGCGGGTGGGCAGCCAAGGCGTGGGGCGGGGGCACGGGATGGACCGGGACGGCGGCGGGATTCGGCGGATGGGAGACAGCCTCGGCGAAGACCAAGTCCGGGTTGGAGTAGACTCCCCGGCCGCCAGAGTGGAAGCCGTTGAGGAAAGGATTCATGGGGCTGGAGTTGGCATAGCTGAGCGCCGCCGGCCGGATGGGGTCCTCGGC